AACAGATTCATTAAAACTAAGGAAGAAGAACCTGGTCCAGAAGGATCGACTCCTTCACGATCATCGAACATCTTCCCGGACTCCCATTCATCATCATCAGTGTCAGTCAAAGAAAAGGGTATCGAGGTCCCAACGTCAATCAGCTCAGGCTCGTGAATTGAGGTAGCAGTGTTCAAATAGCCTCCTTTAGGGACATCCCAAGCCTCCAACCTAGTCGAGGAGCGTACCCCCTGGTGAAGAGTTTTTTTCCCTTTTGGCTTGGTTGAGGTCTTCCCAGACGGGGTACAGGTAACCAACTCTTTCATAGGACTCTTTTCAGCATGATCAATAGAGTCCGAAGCCTTCAATTTCTCTTCAATCTTTCTACAATTACGAATCTCATTCAAAACCAGCCTCAGGGGAGCTTTCTCCATACCCATATCAATAAGAATTTTTTGAACCAAAGATGCATCATCCATTCGGTCTTCAGGTAGAATTGTCGAGGCTTCAAAAGGTGAGGGGAGAGCTAGCAAAGGTAATGGCTCGGGATTCATCACCAACGCTTGGTCAGGGGGCTGGAATGAAACATCGTCAAAACCACCATCGTTATCAACCACCGGAGAGTTCAGCGAAGCAAACATATCCGCAAATGTCCTCCGCTTCCAACATCAGATTGGGTTCATTAGGATCCACCACTATTATCGTCAAAGGGTCGATCAGCAGTGGGGTCAAAACTATTCCGACTCTTTTTGGATCTTCCATTTTAACGGGTGCATCCTAAAGTTGATGATAGCCGTCACAAGCACCATGCACCACGCACCACTCACGACCAAACTCTTTCCAGTGAAAAAAGAGGAGGACCAGAGCCGTAACTAGAGAAAGCTCCTTACTCTCTCTCTTCAGATATCAATGGCCCTTAGCCACCTATACAAGGGCTTAGTTTCCAAAGGTGTGCTGGTGGCAGGTTGCAGTTTCCCCAAGCAAGCACATCATAGATTTTGTGGGTAATAAGTCCCCTTGAAACTTTGATGGACCCTCGTTTAACTTCAATAGATGACCATATTGTGCCAATGAGGTATCGTCTAGTATCCATTCCTTAAGAGCATCATTTGGCTGCAAATCCGTGGTAATCGGGGATTCTATTGGAATGACCTCTTTCAAACTTTCTAAATCTCCTTGCTCAGAAGACTGAAATATTTGCAGATAATTTGAAATCCCTGCGAAGATTCTTGAAACCGCCCTACTGCCACTCAGCGTTTTGAAAATTTTGGAGTTATCTTTTTTTGAAATTCATTTCCCCTAGCAGTTACTAGCTTGTAGAGCTTCCGGCATCGGAATCTTATTTTCTGGCCACTACAGCACACCACTACCATGGCGTACTTTCGAGTGTCCACCATGAGGAAAATCTCCCACAACCAGGCTCCCACTGTCACATTGTACTTGAATGATAAGGAATCATTCCCAATATGGAGACAAATGTGCTCAGGATTACTGGAATTCTTTACAATAGAAACCTTGACACAATTCCTATTGCGTATAGGATTTAAAAAGGAATCCCAATCCATATCCAAATAACAGCCCACCATATTAGCAATCCTTTTAATAATTTCTAAGTTCCATCTAGACAGAGGAATACCAGAAAGGCAAATCCAAATATTCACTTTTTGTAAAAAGGATTTATGATCGCTAACCTTCCATGGATCTAAAAAACGCAAACTCCCACGAATACAACAAAAACGATGTTTGAGAGCTCTAACAACCTCCTCATGAGTTCTAAGTTTAAAAACAACCTTGTTAATAACTATCACCTTGACATCAGGACAATACAGGAGATTCCAACACCTTCTAGCCGAATCAACCAGACCAAAGAAACCAAATGGGAGGAGAGAAGAATCCAGTGACAAAATGTCCCGGATTAATGTTAAGCTTTTCCCATTTTGATTGACCAACATTCACCGATGGAAAAGCAGACACTCCATTAAGCTCCAGAAAAACACCATTGACAACCATCGTAGACTCTACCTTCTAAAGCCTTCTCTTTCTCTCATTATATCATCCATTAGTTGTTATGACAACCTCCTACAGCCCTATGAGTCTGGAAATGCTCATTAGTCAGCTCAACATTTTTTCGAACTAGAGGTCCCTAAAAAAAGAGGATATTCTTTAATGGTAGTCTATTGACCTTAAATTTACCTAAACCGAGGAAAGGAGGTAGATTGTGTTAGGTAAGCAACTAACATAAAACTGTCATATCATCAAAACTAGTATATCGCTAGCAAAGAAAAACCCTCATAAAAACTTCAATGTTTCTATTTTGAAAAGGGTGCAGTTGGCATACTGACGCTTCCGTAGGTGTAGAGGTACGACGCCCTTCAAATTTTATCATGGTATATAATTTTAATGTAAAATGTTATTAGGATTATCTCAAAATCTATTTTTATATCTAATTATAAAATTTTAAATTTAAAAAATGGTTAAAATCAAGTAGATCTATAAACATATGAAAATCTTGAAAATGGACGGTGTAGATAATATATTGTAAAATGCACTATTTCTGAGACTTAAAATCTTTTTAGTTTTCATAGTCATACATCTCGATGCTGAGATGATCAATCAAAGGGTTTTCAACATTAAAACTACTTTTTTCGATGGATTTTTGAGGGGCATCGGTAGTTCTATATTATAAGGTAGCATTCTTATATAAACTTTTTCCTTTTGAAAAATAAAAAATCTCAAAAAATTACATGTGTAATTTTTTTAAAAGGGAATATTCTTTAATGATAGCCACTTGAAACTTTTCCCAACCCATCCCAAGCCTGGGTAAATGAGGTAGATTGCGTTAGGTAGGCAACCGTAAAACTTTGCCGCATCTTATCATGAATTGTAAACCTATGCTTTTGTTTTTTATTAAGAGTCTGGCCCTTGATAGAGGAGAATAGAGGAACCTAATTTTTGTAGCAATCCCAAATAATTGGGATAAGGTTTGTTTAAAAATATCTCCTCATTTTGTAGAAATAATGCGCACCTCTAGAATTTGCTTAAGGATATCATTATGGTATCAAAAACCTTATGATGGCTTGAAATTTATTTTAATGTCTAGTTATAAAATTCAATATTTAAAACATGGTGCAGATCTAGCGTATCAATAAATACTTGAAAATCTTGAATACAAACAATGCAAATAACTTGTTACAAGATGCATTATTTTTTGGACTTGAAGTTCTTTTTTTTTTCTTCATATCCATAGGTCTCGAGGTCAAGATGATCAATTTGAGGGTTATTCAACACCGAAACATTCTATTATGCAGGATTTTTTAAGTGCACCTTAGTATAAGGTTGCAACCTTATATAAATTTATGAAAAGTTCCCTTAAATATATACAAATAATAGCTTAAAATGTGAATTGCATTGAAAAAAATTCTCGAACATCATGTAGTCAGCGGGCTCAACAAGTCAAACAAATAATTAGACCGATTACACTACGCTATTGTTGAACTAAGCTGGCCAAATCACCGATAAACAATCCCATTGGCCATTCCACGGCTCAAGGGTGGTGCGATGAGAATGAGAATGCGAAGCTCATGCATGTCATTTAACATAAATGCTTTTTTGCATCACAATACTCTATACTTAGTAAGTCGGGGAATAATATATCGGCCGACTAAAATATTGGTAATATATTGGTTTTATTTAAAAAACCAGGGGAAAAAAACAGATAAAAAATACGGATCACCAAAAAATATGTTAAGTTATAGATTCGTAAATAATTCGGATTTTGTTCAAAAAATGTATTGAAAAAATCGGATATGTAAAATGACACAATATAAGATTATGATTTGCAATTATTGTATAGACATATTAAAACCATTAAACAATAATTTTTTAGCCCTAGTGTCATTAGAGTAACACTTGACAATTTTTTGTTGAAACTTTCAATAAATCTAAAAGGTCAGTGATCTAATGCAACGGTCGTATCATAGTATAATGCAATGGGCTAAAAACAATGATTGCTTTGTTACCACAACACAGAACATATCGTGGATTTATTGGGAGCATAAAATAAAACAAGCAACTACTAAACACAAGAAATAATTTGCAAATAACAAGAATTGTGAACCAAGGTATAGGATTACCTTTCAAAAAAAACAAAAAAAACCCCAATATAGGATTAAAATTAATTAAAAGAAAACGCATAGACCCAAATATGTAAAATAGCGGTCCATCCAAAATGCAATGTTGTATACACCAATGAAATAAAAAATGAAATTAATCAAAATTTTCCTTGTATAAATAATATAACAAAATGCTTAAGCAAATTCGAATATCGCACTAAATTCTTAGCTACCTAAATCTTTAGTATTATTGAATATATTTCTTTCTCTTTATAAATTTTCTATGGGGTTTATAGAAGAACAAAACTAATTTTCATTGGGTTATTCTTCCTCTAATTCTACCTAATTATTTTGAGATATACAATTGTTTTGATTACTTTTGTTAGGGAATATATTGCTTGTAATTTTTGTATATTTGTTTTAAGAGAACTCATTGTTGGATTTTTTGATAAAATTTATTTTTGAATAAATATTTTTAATTTATGCCCACTATTAATGTACTTATCTTAAAATCAAATTTCAATAATAAGATATTAATGAAAAAATAAAGTTATATGGAAGAATTTTTTTGAAAAAAAGATAAAATATGGATTTATATCGGTTCTATTAAAAAAAACGTGATGTTTTGAAGAACTTTTAAAAAAACTCATAGTTCTAAACGGATTTAAAAAAATCCGAGACTTTTTGAAAGAATTATGTTTTAAATGGAAAATTGCTAATTATGTAATACCCTCAAGCCTACGCTTATATGACAAAGGCCATTTATGTAATTTTCCATTTTGGAGGGAAAATTAAAACGCGGTGTCTTTCTCACTCTTCTTTTCTACCGCTGAGTTTTGCTTCATTTGATGAGAGAGAAACTGTTTATACTTCTTCTCTCCTCCCCACATTTTCTTTCACATTTTGCAGGTGACTTTTGCTCCCTGAAATGGCACCGAAGCAGGACAGCACTGAAGGTATCATCATCATTCTTTAGCACCGCCTTTCAATTTCACTGTTTTTGCCATTTTTGCCCCCTATATTCAGCTGCTGCTCTGAATCTGCGCGCAGAGAGAGAGAGAGAGAGAGAGGAGGAGTCTATTTCGATTTCTATTTCTTTGCATGATTGATTGATCGACTTAGCTTTTATTTTTCTGTTGTTTTTGAGCAGGAGTGGTGTTGAACTTTGTTAATGAGGTAAGACCATCAAATCCTCTTTTTTTGAGTTATCACTAAGAAGATTTCATCATGTGGTGATTCCCTGTTTGTGCAAATCCTTGAATCATTGTTCTTCTAATTCATTGATCTTAAGTTTTGAAAACACGCATTTTAATTCCTTAGATTTCGGAAAAAAAAGTGGTGGAATTCTTTCTCCAAAATTATTAAAAAGAGATAAAGACAGCGTTATTGAAAGATATCTTAAATTTGATATGCACTTTTTCAGAAAAGCTTCTATTTGATCTATATCATACAACCTTCATGATTCTCTTTTCTTCATGATAAATTTCTTGTAACATAGATATGTAAAATTATATCTCCGCAATTTATTCTTTTTCTTTGTTTGATTAGTATCTAATTGGATAAATCACTGCTCTGGATTAAATGTTGATTGATAGCAGCTGGTTTCTTGGAGGTTACTTTAGAAATACTAAGAATTGCTCTGAAATAATCAAATTGTCATAATTTGTGTTTCTCTGTATTTGATTTCTTTAATTGTCTGTTCAGTTCTGTCAAATAAGCAGACTATGTTTGGTGAAAAAAAATATTGTATTCTCATGGAACATGCCGATGCTCATGATGTAAATTTACGATGTACTATACCTGATAAGAATTTGTGATTTACAATTATATGTTAAAAGCAATATGATGTAGCTGGTCTATTCTAAACTTTGATTCATACTGTGATCTAAATTTTTTTACAAGAATAAATGTTGTGATATCGAAAGTATCGAATGTTTATACGATTTCGTGCCCTTTTATAATATGATGGAAGCAACACAGATACTCTTAATTTCCTTAAGAATTCGTTATAATGCCCAAAAAGTTGGGGAGCATCTTTCCTCTGCTTGAAGTTCACCCAAACTTCTGTTGGACAGAGGGATGACCCTTCCCAACCATCTGCTGTTAACAACAGATGGGAGACCTGTTTATGTCCAAACATAATAATAATATACACAGGTAGTTATATTGTACTTATCCTTTTAATTAACGACTACAGACATATATACCACCAAATCAATTGGGATTCTGAATGGACATTCACCATTCTGTATCAATATTGAACAATGGACACCTCTACTTATAAAGAACATAAGAAATTGATATATAGCGAGGGCATGAACCACATAATGAATGAACAGTTGCCAGACTATTTGTTTTTGAGGCTTTAGTTAATACCACATAGTTTATCTATCTAGAGTATAATTTAATTGTGTAACCTATTTGGGAAGATAAGTGTTTTAGCAATCACTTATAGATTCTTGAAATGCATTGCTTGGATCTATGATCTCTTCAATTCTGTGAGTGACTTTTGTCATCCTGATTTCATAATTCTATTTGGTTCTTGGTTGCTGTTTCTGACCTTTCTATATTTCATTAGTTCAATTCATTTTAAATCCTTATGCCATTAGCCTTTAGGAGTGACTATTTGGGTTAGGTGAGTTATTAATCCTTTTGTTTTTTCTCCTCAGCAAAATAGGCCACTAAATTCTCAGAATGTTGCGGATGCTTTGCAAAAGTTTGGACTAAAAAAGACGGCTATTCAGAAAGCGCTGGACGCGCTTTGTGACAGTGGCCAAATTTCATTCAAAGAATATGGTAAACAGAAGATTTACCTTGCTAGGCAAGATCAATTCAAAATTCCCAATAGTGAGGAGGTCGATCAGATGAAGAAGAAAAATGCCAGACTGCAAAAGGATTTGGAAGATCAAAAGAGAGCAATGAGTGAGATTGAAGCAGGTATCCTCTCTTTGATCCTCTGCAATCTCTTAAATAACTTATTTACGGCATCGGGAAACACTTAGAAATCTATGGGAGAAGACAGAACAATCATAAGCTGGTGCATATTTTTCTAATTTATGTTTTAAAGGTTGTGTTTTTTTACGTCCTCTTTCCTGAAAGAATAAATGTAGAGATATTCAGGAGCAATAATTTATGCTATAAGGAAAAATACTTGATAAATGAATGTTCTAACTTGTGAGGTGATTTGCTCATTTTTAGAAGATTGCAGTGTCCTAAGACTTTAAGAACGCAAAAATAAGATATTCCGGGTGCTCTGGTCATTTTGAGGATGGGGACCGTGAGTGGTATCAAATCGAGATGAGGGACCAGGAAAGGCTAAAATATGCTACAATTGGAAGCACCATCCGTAAAATTAATATCTTAGGGATTTGGAGCCCCAAATATTAAGGATCGAGATCCCAAGTGTTTGGGGATCTTGATCTCGGCTTTTCGCGCTCTTTATCCTAATCTTTTGGGGATCTTGCTCCCAACCTAAAGGTATTGATCTATTTATTTATAGCGAGTAAGTAATGCAGCTTTATTAAAAGTATAGTCATATTGCTAGCTGGCTATAAATAAAAACAATCATTAGTTGCCTTGGTTTTTATAATTGGGATTGATATCTCAGGGAATAGGGATCCCTAATAGTGGGGATTGAGATTCCAATTTAAAAATCGAGTTCACTTAAAGATCCCTTTCCTAAAATGCCAGAGCAAGATCCCGTAGTGGGATATCCACCTATGTTGGGAGATCCCAATAACCGTAGCTAAACTTACTAATTATCTATTGTAAGAGGATGTTAGTAAACTACTTGGCTATAGAGATTACCTGAAATTTATGATGGAAATCTGCTAAATTGTCAACTTTTGCTGCTTATATACAAGTATGTTGCCCAAGGGATTTTGAATTGGAATGATGAAGATGAGGGGTTCTGTTTTTGTAGAAAGTAAAGCTCTACAGTCAACCTTAACCTTGGAGCAAATGTGTGCCAAAGAAGCCAAATTGAAAAATGAGGTGAGAATTTCTTGGAAATATCTGCCATTACTTGTAACTTGTTTGGTCTTTGCAGATAATGAAGCTAGTTCTGTGGGTAAATTATCTTTTGAATTCTATCAGGTAAACCAAATGGAGGTCAAGCTAGCTAAATTACGAGAAGGAACTTCCCTGGTAAAACCCGAGGACAGAAAAAAGGCAGAGGAAACTTACGTTGAGAAAATCAATCAGTGGAGAAGACGGAAGAGAATTTTCAAAGACTTGTGGGATGCAATAACTGAAAACATGCCAAGAGATACAAAAGAATTCAAGGTTGTCCTTGTAATCCATGGCCCAGTGTTTTTAGATTCGCTTTGCTTCGGCTGAAGAGGCCTAAGTCTTCAGATTTTAGGCCCAAGTGAAGCGAAGTTTGGTGCTGTGCTGTGGTCAGCTTCGGGCCAATTCGGCCTAAGCAAAAAAAATACCTATATAAAAATAAAATTTGTATTAAATTTTTTTAAAAAATTATTTTTATTTTTTATATATTTTTATATATAAATATCTAATTTATTTCTATGAAATTAAAAAATATATATCCGAAGTCTTCCCCCGCATCGCGCATCGTTTTTCTCACCAAATCGAAGAAAACTCCGAAGCGAATCTGACAAGGCCATGGCTACACCTTTAGTTCCTTTGATGGTTTTCTCCTAAATTAAAATATTTAAGTTCTGATTCTTTTTACAGGAAGAGCTAGGACTTGAGTACGATGAAGATGTTGGAGTAAGTTTCCAGTCCTTGAGTGAGCTATTAACGCAGAGAAAGAAGCCCAGGAGAGGTTAGCGAATGGTCCCTTTTGCAAAATCTCCTTTAGCTTGGAGATTGGGTTTCCAATAGGACAGAGCAGCACATATCTCTGTTCTTACTTCTATTGGAGAACAGAAAATGGGGATAACAGGAAATCCACTATTGAAAAAACTTGTATTGATGGTTAGTATTCTCGATGCTTTGTGGCTTGGCTTTCCATATGCCAACTGCGTTGGTTGTATATAATGTGTTTCGTGGATTATTTGGAGATGGAAGGTAAAAAAATGGAGGTCTTTGTATACACGGTCAAGTGGTCTAGTTTCATTTTGTACGACTTTCTTTAAAAAAAATTTTGTTTGGTTTGGATGCCTCATCCTGAGCCATTTGAGAATGTTTATTTGCACTTCTTCCTAATGTATCACACAGTGTGGAATCAAGTAACACACTTGAAATTGTACTAGTTTTAGTAGTAATATGTGAGAAATTCAATTATATTAAAAAATGAAAATTCATGTATAATAGGACCATTATAGTCTATCATTTTTACTAAATAAGTGTTAATTCACTCTTCTTTTTTGAAATTATACACAGGTATATTAATTCAAACACACTTGGGGTCGATTCAGTTCTTGCATTTGGCAATATTAGTGCATAGAAATGCAGCTCTAAATATGTTATACCATCTTGACTCAAGAGTAGCCTCATATACTGCAATATGCTTTTGCAAAAATAATTTATTTCACAAGCAGGCCTGCTCATTTAGAGAATACATACTCACCTATACAATAACAGTGCTCAATCAACTACACATTCAAGCCTCAACTTTACAAGATCAATACTAGGAAAGGCCCCCATACGGGGCAAACAGGAAAACGACTGATAACTAATAATATGGGACACTACAACCTTGCATTAAGCTTTCTTCTTTTTTGCCTCAATATATTTATACTATTGCTTAGTCCCCGGCCTAGTTCTAACAGAAACAAAATTGGAGCCACGCCTGAGTGTTCTTTTAGGAAGATCAGAAGCTGTCTCCTTCTCTAGGCTTGATCCCTGCCCCTGAAGTTTGCTCGAAGAACTCGCACCCACATTTTCCAGTTGAGATGTGTCATTTGTTCCATATAGTTTAGGCTCCTTTTTTAACTCAATGTGAACCTTTTGATTCAGTTCCTTGGGAGGTGAATATGACGAAGCCTGTGATCTTTTTGGGCTTCGCTTCTTGTGAGAAGACTGAACCTTAACTCCTGCTGTCTCGGCATCTCGAATTGTCTCAACATCAGTACCTCTCCCTCTTGGTAACCAATTATCGGGTTCTTTAGACAAGCTCAACACAGGACCTGGATTTCTATAAAAACCCACTTCACTGTGCTTCAAGTTTGATGAGTTGAAGCCTTCTCCACTCTTACTTTCATGATCACTTTCATCAAAGACGATGGCCTTTCCCAAAGGCTCGGTCTCATTAACTTTGGTCTCTTCCTCATTTCTCTCTACAATTCCGTCTGAATCTGAACTTGAAGAGGACAAAGATCTTCCTAATGGCGATTTCAAATTTTCTCCATGTACTCCATGTACTCCATGTAGTGATTCGCAGAATTCTAGTTTTACTTCATGATCTTTTCTCTCTTCAAGCATTTCATCATCTGATTCAGAACTATCAGTTTCTGTGGGGTGTATCTTTTCAAAGCTCCGTTTGATGCCCTGATTATCAATGTGCTCTGATATATTTTTGCCCAGATCATCTGGAAGTCCAGTCCTAGAGTGAAGTTCTTTGAGCCCAAGTCTAGATCTTGAGGATCCCTCACTTGGTTTCCCATCAAACTCCTTTCTACCTCTAGGACTGGGACTATCTGAATCTGAATCATTTTTTGCGAGTTGTACAGCTGCTCTTGCAGCTGCTGCTGCATAAGCAGCCGACTCAAAAGCTGCTTGAGCTGCAGAAGCCACATCTGAATATTTCCTCCCTGCTTCCATTGATTCCTCAAAGGAGTTATCGATTTCTGAATATTTGAGATCATCAAGATCTGCATCCACAGATGCTGCTTCATTCAAGTTCTCTCTCATGGGTCTTGTTCCTTTAGTCTGACTATGGTTATATCCCAATTCCTCCTGCATGTAGAAGTATTTACTCTAGGATTAGTAGAAGAGTGGAATGGGGCTGTTTTGAATAAATTTAAAGGAGGTTTTAGTTTGATTATCTGGTTTGCTACATACCATGGTGTTTTGACGAGGAACTTCTACTATATTCACATTGAGACCATTCTCCAAAGCTATCTCTTGCACCACTTTTATCCTGGCTTCCAAACTCGACAATTTCGTTGACATCTTTTGTATCATCTGCAAATCCAGAGACAGATGCTAAGAATTACAACAGTTCAACAAACACTAGAAGTGAGGAGAAAGCTAGAGAGGAGGAACTGATAAAGAACAATTCAGAAGAAATAAAAAAAGAGAAAGCAGGAGACCAGGAAAGAGTCATACCGCAGAGCGGAAAAAAAACAGAAACGAAAAAGGAAAAGAAAGACTAGAGGGCAGGAGCTGTAGGACTAATTCAAAACATGGAAAGAAAAGGCCCGAGGACATGAAAGAGGAGAGAGAGCGATTCAAACATAAGTATTGAATCAATGCAGAGAACAGGACATGAGATAGAAGAACTTCAACAAAACTAAAAAAGAGAAAGTGGGAGCTAAGAGAAGAGTAATTCAAAAAAAACTGAGAAATGTGGTAAAAAAAACAGGAAAGAGAAGAAAAACAGGTAGAAAAACTCAACCGCTACTTTTAACTTTAAACCTAATTTTCAACAAAACAAAGAGGAAGAACTGAGGAAAAGTAAGTACAGGACAGAGAATATGAGCTGAAGTGGAATTCTTCAAAACCAAAAGGCTAGTTCAAACTGAAATTGATATGAAACACAGAGCAATTTGAAAGTTGAACCAATAGAATAGGAAACATAGAAATAGAACGGAAGAATAGAAACTGGAAAGGCAATTCGTAAGCAGATGATAAAAAATTTAACAGAAGAAAAATCAACCAAGATAAAAAAAAAAAGAAAAAAGAAGAAGAGAATCATTTGTACCTTTGGGTTCACCCCACAACTGTTGCGTAGGTCCACTGCAGAGGCCACAAAATCTTTCCCATACCTCATAGCAAAAATTATGCGAACTTCATTTAATTCAGTCAGTTCCCCACACCTTGATGCTGCGAAAATCAAGCTCGAGATAGCTTCCTTCAGTTCATCAGGACATGACCTGATGCCGCAAAAACGATGAATAAAATCGTTAAGATTGAAAACTGCTGCTTTTAGAGAGAGAGAGAGAGAGAGAGAGAGAGAGAGAGAAGAGAAGAGAGATACTCTACTTTCTTATTTCGATACGAAGTAATCGTACTTCCGTTTCCGTACGAAGAGTAGTGGACGTAGTACGTCCTCTTACTACTACGAAGTAACTAAAACCAAAAACTACTACC